GCCTTTGAAGTTCAATTGATGAATATTTTAAATGGCAAATGCTACGGTTCAGGGTCTGTATTAGGTGTTCAGCCTGGCAAGAGGTGGGTAATGGAGCCTTTCGGTTTCCCTTTGATCCTCAGCTGGGTGTAGAGCTGGGCAGGCACTGGTGGGAGAGGTACCCAGGGACAGCTCAAGCAGATGCTGGGCACTGTTGTTGGTGTGAACCAGCCAGCCCACTCCAGGCCCCCAAACATCTTGGGAATGTCACAAAGAAGATTTGGATAGGGTAAAGCAAGGTGCATCTTTCCACGTTGTTTCCCACTCAGTTGGACAGATGCAGCTTTAGATTAAGGAAATCACAGAGCAAGGTACCATGAATTTTTTTTTCTTTCTTTTTTTGTTTTTTATAAATCACTGATAGTTTGGTTATGTGTCTCACAGGAAAACAGTTCCCACTTTCTTACAGGAAAGTGTAAAAGAGGTTGCAAACAGCTACAAAGCAGAGTTTCTAAATCTAAAATGCAAAGTAAATATCCAGTTAAAATGAGGACAGATTTGCATAGGATGTGTGTAAATCAGTGCAGCCCTTGAGCAACTCTGACCTATGTGAGAAATTACGTGGGTTTCACTGTTATCTAGAAAAATAAACTGTAACATCCAGTACCATAGCAACATTAAGCATAATGCCGATTTGCCTTTTTCTGAAGAGCATAGAAATAAACCATGCACAATTGTAGGTGTTCTACAATGTTTTATGAGTGATGGAACTTACCTTTTTCTCTTGTTGTGTCACAAATTCTTTCCTGCAGCATAGTAAGAAATACATAATCTCTAATAGATTCTGGGAAATATAGTTATGAATTGAGTATATCACAACATGAAAGCTTTTGCAAAATCTATCACTTCAATTTTCTGTGGGATAAAAGAAATTGAGTACCGTAATCACAACTTTATAAAACTCAGGCCTTTTGATTCATAGAAGATTTTGATATTTCAAATTCGATTTTGCTCCATTTTGGAACAGAAACATCACAAAAATTTAATGAAATGCTCATCCTGGAAAACTTTTTGTTTAGAAGAGATTAACAAATGGTGTTCTGAGAACGAAGCATGCTCTGCAGCACTGAGCAGATGTTGTTTGTTAATAACAGTTGTGGAACTCACAAAAATGCCAGTTTAAATCACCACCTGTGAAACTCCAGATGCGCATGATTGGGATGGGTCTGGGAAATTATTCTGGGTCTATAAATTCGTATTTTCCAGTGAAAGTGTGTAGGTCTATAGACTAGACTAAAGGTTCTAGGCTAAAAAAATGACACTGTTGAATGTCTAGAAAACAAATTCTCTTGAAGATTTTTTTTTTTAATATACCATGAAGTCTACAAAATGTGTCAGATTCTCCTCTCAGACCCATCACTGTATATTCTTGATCCATTTGTACTAGTGTCACTGGAAAGGCAACTCAATAGCTAGGGCCTTACCTGGGACAAAGTCTAAAATCACATGGAATTGAAATATATTCTCCCCACACAGGCCATTTAAATCATGTAAATAATCTTACAAAATAGGATTCCTAGAGAATAGGAATTCCTATGGAACTATCGGTTAAATATTATTTCATATTTCTTTTTGCAGTCTGTCATGCAAATAGACACTAATTATAAACTACATACATAAATACATGCATTTGCACACACACACACATGTGTGCGTATGCATTTATGCCTTATATATCTGTAATGGATTTCAAATCAAATATATTTCATGCACTTTCATTGTAACTGTAGAAACTTTGAGTGATAGAAGGATAAGAAACCCTCTGCATTTCTTACCGAACTTCTGCTTTTCACTCCCGTCATTCACTGACATAGTTTACTTTCAAATCAGTCATTTGACTGCCCTAGTTATTTCAAAGGATTGTTTCAGCCTGGCCGCTGAAGGGATGCTTTAATGTAACTGAATTCCCTTCTGAGACTGGTGAGATGGGGAGGGAGAGGGCAAGAGTGAGGGGCACCAGCAATACTGAAGACATATGGTGGTGTAACAACCAGATCAAAGGAAAGCAACTTGGCCAGAAATCACGTCACTGAACTGAAAGCAGCTGGGAGTATAGGGATTCGGCATTTGGATGAAGACAAATGTAGACAAGTCAAAGCAAAACAGTAGGTCTGAAAAAAATGCTTCATATAATGCATTCATATTGAAACACTGAAGCATGATTTCTCACAATTTTTTTTCCTACAGAATACACAAAGCATCAAAATGCTACTTAGAGTTCTAATACAGAGGACTCTCCTCTTATTATTAGGACTCTCCTCTTATTATTTGTTCTTACTTTTTGCTGTTCTGGGTATTCTGAAGCACTCACTAACTTCTCATCATTAGTATTCTGCCATTAGAGATTTAAAAATGTTCTGGTGTAAATAAGGTCCTAAGGGTTTTTAAATTCTGGCTCCGCTAAAGTCAGTAGGAATTGCCATTACTACCACAAAAATTGACTCCTGTGGGATGGAGGTGTTAGGATATAAATTAAAAAAAGATTTATATTTTTAAAAAATATATTATTATAATTAAATGTAATTCTTTCTTCCAATTAAAATTTATAACTACTTTGCTTTGTAAGGAAAAGAGGCAAATAAGGTTTGTCAAACTGAGTCTCGCCAATGTTCTGTATCGGTTCTGGCACAGTGGCTGCATAACTGTCTGGTATTTTACCATAATGCACTCATCAGTTAAATAGGGCTGCATATCTTATGGAATACGTATCTTTGAAAGAATAGACTCTAGGAAAAAAAAATCAATTTTTAGTCAATGAAAGATGATTTTCATTCACAGATTGGGTTTATTATCTTAGTATGTGCATATTTCTTTACATCTCTACAAAGTGTATTGTAGATTATATGGAAGCCTTTATACTCTTCCTTGTCCAAGGTATTTTTGAAAGGCTCTTTCCTTATTGAATATGGAACCTTAAAGTAGAGTATAAAGGGAATCCACATAAGATGTGCTCACAAATTTACACGTCCATGAAGCTGCATTAATGGATGCTTTAGCAGAATATGAGTGTTTTTTTGAGACTGGTGAAAGACAGAAGGGAAGATTAAGAGACTGGCAGCAGATGATCTGGCCCCTAGAATATTTTACTACTTTTTTACTTCTTCCCAGAGCCTGTCAATTCATAAGGATTTGATTTGATGAAGTTTTCCTTCTTCTAGCTGCAGGCTGTCTGCACACGAATTGGAGCTTACTCTCAGGAGCTTGCAAGAAGCGCAAGAAGTGCTGCACTGGGAGCTGTACATATGCCAGAAGTATTTGCAGTTGTGATTCAGTATGTATGTATGTCCAAATTATTTCCAGGGAAATCAATTTGAGCTGTTCGGTTGTGCATGAGAAGGTCCTTGTGGACAACTGACAAGACCCCCCTGAGTGATTTTGTCTTCCGGGGAATAAAATATTCCATAACTAGGAAAGTATGATACTTAAAATCTGTTTTCTAGTTAAAGCAGTTACACTTAGATATTTTAAATTCTCATAGTTCAAAACATTGTGGAATATTTACTTAATACCCATCCCCGCTCATGAATATTTCTCACACTAACCCCCCTGGCAGGAATAGTTATGGAAATTTAACACAATTTACGAGCCCTCACTTAAAAAGCTCATGAATATTCATGTATTCACTTCTTCTTTACTGATAGTGTTCATTGATTTGCCAAAGAACTTTCCATTTATAGTAATCTTCAGTTGTAGATATGAACCCTGACACGTAACAGAGCCATAATATGATTATTAGGATTTTGTCTGTTTACGCGTTACAGACCTGAATTGTGTACACTCGACGCCTTGCTGTTCTCAAGCACGTAGTGTGTAGATGCAGGCTGTGTTCCATCCTCACAGAAGAACACAAGTGCTTGCTCTGCTGTTGACAGTTTTGACACCAACACTGTTGACTAGATGTGAAGAGTGTACTGCCTATTTCTTGGCAGCGACATGACAGTGTTCTTGCAATGGTGCTTTATGTTGTGAAGGGCCGAGGTCATTAGTACATCCAGATCTCGTCCCTTTTGGGAAGTCTTTAATTTTCAGACAGCATGAGAAAAGCACTTGCTGTGGTGTGAAACCCTAGAGTTGTCTTTTGAAGGAATTCCATTTAAGAAAAAGATGCAGAGTGGGGTTTCTTATTAAGATGCACATAGCAGCTGACTGCAGCTGGGATTGTACTCGTACAGTGTGGGGAGAACGTACACACGAATGCTCATTTTAATGAGAGAGAAAGTGTAGGTGCAAGCAGATGACCTAGATGATTTTATGAATAAAAGATATAATCTGATGTAATCATTTCATTAATACACACATGGCACCAAATGAAAACAGAGCATAGCAGATGGCTATGAGAGGTCTTAAAAAGGCATTTTCAGTTTAGTAGCTAATGACTTAGATTTCATGCACTGCACCAAATGCCGTCAGAAAGGAAGCACGTATCATGTCAGTCTTCCAAAGAAACTTCTACTGCTTCATGGAAGTAACACTGAAAAATCTCTCTTTTGTGATGCTAGCTAGAAAATGCAGTCCCAAGGCAGATATGGGGCAACGTTTCACTAAAATTTCTAAAAGAAATCCCCATTATTTTCTTTAGTAATAGCTTACAGTTTTTAATTAAAAGCTCTTTCTTTCCATCCAGTCTGTGGAAACAGTGGTTTGCAATAAATAATGCAATATAGTAATTTGTCATGCAGTTTTGGAATCTAAATATGACATTTATCTATTTGCTGCAATTATGGATCCACTGAGAACAACTGCCAAAAAAAATCAAGTTGGTATAGTACTAAAAATATGTAGATTTATTTTAAAATAAAATCTTTGGAATAAATTTAGGATTATTATATACCTTTAAAAGGAGGGAGTGCGTGTGGAAGGTTTGTGTAAGATCAGGATTCTTTTTTACATTAGTTCGGCTCAGCGTAGAAAATAACGAAGCAGGGGAATACCATGGTTTAGCACACTGTCTGACAGCGGGTATGGCACTAGCCATGTGGCTTCTTCCCCATGCCATCCAGTCGTGCCATCCACGTCCAGGCTGCAGGGAGTCTGATGGGAGAGCCAAATGTGACAGCTCCGCTCCCAGTGTGATCCGCCCTGTACTTGAGGAATGTGCAGCCTGCAAGGTTTGACTGCTCTCTGGACCCTTTACAAAACCAGATCAGGGCAAAAGGGCTGGATTTCTTAGCGAGAATCTGGCCTACAGCTTCTTAGAGACAGATTAACCTCAGTTTGGCATCAAACTGAGGACGCAGAGAGTCTCATTCTTCAGACCTAATCCAAGATCAACTCAGTCTATATTATTTTATCATGAATTAATACTCTGAAGACACACAGACTCTGAAGTTTTCTTTCTGCAAAGCTTGTTTGATCTCCTATCAGGATCAACAGAGTTTACATTGAATTTTGGCTGTAGATAAATGCTCATCCTCTTCGAATGCAAAGCAAAACAAACAAAAATACACCCTCCCACCCAAAAGCCTGTGAGTGGGAAGCTGATATTTTTTTTCCTTTGTACGCAACTGACAAAAAATATTGAACAGGACAGGCCTGGCCCTGCTGCAAACTGGTATTGCCGCTTCATTAGGAAATGGTTCTTTGTAAGCCGGGAGACATAAAGCTTTGATAATCCTGAATGCTTGTGAATGAAATGTAGGCATGGTTTTCCAATGTGAATACCGTACGCTGTGCAATATACATCCACAGCATTTCTGGCAGCTTGCTGCTCTGCAAATCCTGGCTGAAGCATTCGGGGGAATGGTGTAAAACCTAAGATGAACCTTCAGAAGCTGAAAATCTTCTTATGTCTACAACTCTCTCTTACGGTCATGACTGTACATAGTCAAATTTGTGATTTAGACAATTTGTCAGATAAGTCCACGGGTTGCTGTTACACATGCAATGGATGATGGAAATGCAAATAATTACAGTCTTCATGCGCTTTTCACTGTTGCACTAAACACTCAGATAGCATCACCTTGATTCTTATTATTTCTATTTTGACAATAAGTCAGGGCTCAAATTAAGGACAGCGATTAATAATTCCAGAAATTGTACATGTAAGTTCGAGATACGTCAAACTCCTTTGAGTTTTCCAGTCACTTAAAACATATGTTAGCATCATGAAAGAGACTCTCACATTGAAATTATTTTTTTCCCCCAACGTGCTAAGGTCTGAGGCTCAGTAACTTCCTCAAGTCTAAGGCCAAGTATCCTGCATGTAAATATGGTTGGGGGTGGAGGGGGTGTGTGTCAGACACATATGAGTTTACTGTTAAAAAAGGAGAGGTCAGCTATTTGGGAGTGAGATGCAACTCCTGTAAGAGCAGGGCTGAAAGTATTTAGCTTTAAACCATATTTCAATCAAAACCAATTTTGTAAGTGCTTACATGTTTGCAGCATTCATTTATGATATTTGCCCTCCATGTCTCCACAGCTGGGCTGTCAGTAGGAAGTAGAATTTACCACGTGCAGCAAACCCTGACTAACTGTTCATTAACAGACCAGTGTTTGATATGATCGGAATTTAATTTCTTTTTATTTATTGGTCCTAAAAGCTCAGGTAAGTGGGGTTTCTATCCCGGTGCTAGAGAACAGCTTTCCTTTGTAGAAATTCTTATACTTGTCTATGAACCAAAATTTCCTCTCTTCAGTGATTTCCGTCATGGGCTTTCCCTCTCTGTTTGGTTTGCTAAATAGGATTATCATCATTAGCTTCTTAGCATATTCCCTGCCCTCTCTCCTTCTACACATGCATCACTGCATGCTTTACTGCTTTGATTTCTCTGGTTTTCAGATCCACCTCCAAACAGATACTTTGGGGTCCAAAGGAGACACTCAGTTGTCAGGCTAGTTGGACAGATACTACAGTTCTCTTAAAACAAAAGACCCCACCTCTTCCTTTTAGTTACGGTGTTGCTGCAGCAGCCGTTTTACAAACTACACGCAAAAAAAAAATGCAGGAATTGTGAGCACCAGCTTTCAAGAAGCATGAAGTCAGATTTTAAGGAAAAATAGAGAATATTCACTCTTCCCAGTAGTTCACAACAGTGTGGGAAGGAACCAGTACAGATTATCAAATGCTTCTTCACAGACTCTTGACTGGGAGAGAAGAAAAATCTACCAATTTCTGTGCAAACAGAGGTATTCATTGATCTTCCCTTATTTGATACTTTCCTAATTCAAAGATTTGGGCATCCAGTCAGGCAAGGGATCCAATATCATGTGAATCAGAGACCATCTGCACACTCCAAACGAAAAGACAACAAACCTTGGGGTGTCTAAAACACACAGATGTCCTCTGCACAGATGAAGCACGGTCCCACCTACTCAGAAGATACTTAACATCATAAATACAACACGGAATAGGTTTACAAGAGAGCTGTGAAGAAAACAAAGGAGTACACTGTTTACAATGGCCTGAGCAGTTCTGCTTTTGAAAGCAACCGATTTTACTGAATTTGGCAGTAGGAGCATTATGAGCAGACTGCCTAGAATTTTTCTTATGTTGCTTTTTAATGAGATTAGTTGAGCAAAGAGAAAAGCGGGTATGAAACTATACTTGATCTTTATGGAAATATACAGAATACATTTTACGCTTCTCCACCAGCAAAGAGTCAATTCCAGCTGGTGCCAATGTTTTGCGTGAAATTGTTTGGCGGTGTGTCTCTAAGGATACCTGTAAAGGTACAGTCTCCAAAGGTATCTGTAAAATAAAAAATAATAAAAAAATATTTTAAATGCAGCATGGTAGTTCATGGGACTAAAATATGTGGACCGATTATAATGCAGGGATTTATTCAAGATATTTCATTCTTGTGCTGTTCAAAGATGCTCTGTGTGAAGGTTTGGTGTCTTTCCTAGCACAAATCCAATCTCAGTCTCAGAATTCTCTGAACTGGCTATGTGTAAGTTTCCTTTTCTCCTCAGTGAGCCTGATATCTGTAGTGAGGGGAGAATAAAGATGCAATTTTAAGTCCAATATTTTCCAAGGGTAAGCAGTACTAACAGGTAAGGTTATTGCTGTATGACACCGCTGTTCTCTGGGTGGCGGAAAACACAGTCAAGCTCCGGGAGAGAAGCAAAGCTCAGCAGCCCCGGGGAACCCACCCGGCACCCAGGCGTTGGTGGCCGGAGGGGCCACGGTGCCACAGTCACGCCCCAGAGCAGCTTTTCAACCCAGCGGCCGAGGGGCAGCGCCCGTTCCCCGGCGGGGCTGCTCTCC